TGAGCACACTGTTTAGGGTGCTTTCAGCACCGTCTGCAGTGGTAGAGACAATGTGTAAGTAATTGCCTTTACTTTGCCTTTTCCTAATCACTTGTAGACATACTTGCTGTCCTTGGGTGACACCTGTCCTCACTGGAATATTATCATACGATACCTCAATCAGAAATTGTCAGCCTGGCGGGAGGCTGGCACCCCAAGCATGCCCGTCCTAAAAGCCTCATCCTTGACTCCATACTCGGGAGTCTAGATCTGATCATTTCTATGGGCCAACGTTCCCTGGCTATCTCCAAGCCTCTAATCTATTCAGAAAACAGGTACCCGAATGATCTTATTTCCAGCTGCAATTGTTTTAGCATAAGCATTTAGTATAATAAGCAAGGAGCACTTTCACACAACACCAGGGGAGTCCTTCCCTCCCCGGTGCCCCCAACAGTAATTTAGGTCATGACGCCGCCAAAGCTTTCCTCTGGCTGAGCCCTTGACTGTGTCAGATGTTGCCTCATATTCTTAGAGATGTCTCAGATGAATTCCCAGAGCGCCGGTGTTTAGCAAGGCAGTTTACCAACCTAACTCACATCGACAGCGAGTTTTAAGTAAGTTTCTGAGGTTCTAAAAGAGATAACCCCACTTAACGAGGCAGCTTCACTAGTCAGAGCAGAGGCGGACAAGGAGTGCTTTTCTTTCTGAGATCTTTGACTTTGACTGCATGGCCTCGAACCTTGGTTTTTAGGACTGTAAGTCTAGGAAACAGGGCAATCAAACAGATGGAAATAATGACAAGGATGCCAGGCACTATCACTAGATCTGAACCTTTAAAGATGATTTGACCAAATCCTGGGAACACCCTCCTCTGAAGCTGGCTCCTCGATTATGAGAGCTTCTGCCTTTGGATGAAGCCCTGTCTATAAACGGGGGTCGCGGGGAGAGAGGGGGTAACCTGGGAACTGAGTAAATGAGTAGGGTCACCTCGAGCAGCCCTCGGGGGTCTTGCCGACATGTCTGCTGCGGGCCCTAGACCATGTCTTTGGTGCACGGCTCTGGCGTCCTTTTCACCACCAGCATCCTAGGGAGGCTCACTGTCCTTCACTCGAGTTTGGTTAAAAATGAATGCCAGACACGAGGTCCTTTCCACACTGAACACTTGCGTCTTCTCTTTGGTGGCGTTTTCTCCTTTGGGTATCAGACAGGATTTGCCTTAATGTGTGCTGATGGCTCGTGTGCTGATGTAACTGGGTCCTCCTTAGAGATGACTGGACATGCCTGCCCCATCCTGACAGCAAAGGGCAGCGTGGCTTCAGGAAAGAGCCACGGCAGTGTTTCCCTTAAGCCAAATTAAATCAAATACTGTTGCCAGCCTCGGGTAAAACATTATTCTGTTCCACTTTTCATACCAACTGACCTAGTCTATCCGCCACAGGACTGCGGCTAAACAAAGGCAGTTGTTCAAAGAATTATCAGCCCCCTGTGAAGAGGCTAATAGCTTTAGTCTTGAAGTGTCAGTGATTCATAAGCTTACACTTTCAATTCTGATTTGTATTTTCACTGAGAATGTGGAGGGCTGGCAGCTGACGGCGCCAGGCGTGGTGTCGTGTCGCCCTCTGGTGGCCGCGGAAGCAGGTGGGCGCTTGCTGCGGGAACAGGAGAGGGATGGGGCCTCCTCCACAGAGGCAGCCCGCTGAGGAGCCACGGACCTCTCAAGCTCCGAGCAGCCCACCTGCTGGCTCTGGCCGGCCCGCCCTACCTTAGCATGGGCTGTGGCCACCGCCCAGCTTCCCAGCTGCCTCTTCTGAGTTCAGGACAGTGGGAGCCCACCATATGTCAATAAACACTTTTTGAATAAATGCATAAAACTGGGCGGAGATGGAGGAGAATTCTGATTGGATTCTAATTTTGCAATTAGTATTTTTATTGGAGCACAATAGATCATTTCAGTTAGCCAAGGAGAAGCTGTTGACCTGGCCATTTACTTAGAGGCCTTTGAAAAGTTTCACTGTGTGTCCCCTTGGAGCAACCAGACTCCTTCAATGTGTTCAAACACCTGAGTCACACACACACAAAAAGAAACTTTTAAGTATCAGGAATAAGGATATCTTTTTGAACTAAATGCCTCATTCAAGATTAGACTGCACCTCTGAGGGCCTCCCCAGTGGCACAGCGGTTGAGCACTGGGTTGCGAAGCTGCCTGCAGCCTCTGTAGCGCCGGTTCGATCCCCGGCTGCCGGGCGAGGGTCCCACATGGCACGCAGACCTCTCCTGCCACCCGCTGCTCCCCTCAGCAGTGTACTTCGGTCCTTCTGCCTGTTCTGCTTCCCGCTCTGGCTGTGGTGAATTCTCTCACCCTCCTGCACTTCTGACTGTACCCAGTGCCTGTATAAATAAATAAAATCTTTAAAAAAAAAAAAAAGATTAGGCTGCACCCCTGAAAGCAAGTGTGTTGGTGGGCGGGGACTGTCATATCTGCGCATCTGACAGCTCCTGGCACCACGCTGGGTGAATGGCTGGGGCCATGGATTCAAAGCTCCTTGACAAGCCCAGCCCCTTCTGCTTGAAACTCCCCAGGCAGCACACACAGTGGCCACAGAAAATCCACCAGCTGATTTCTGTCTTGGGTCTTCTGCTTTCTATGCAAGATCAGATCAGAAAGCAAGTGCAGCTTGGGCCCACATGCTACTCCACAGACTTTACTGAGTGCCAACACGCCACCTGCTGGAAACTGGGATGAGGAGTGTGAGGATGAGAAGTTGGGGTGGGCAGCAGGGGCCGGAGAGGCATGCAGAGCAGGGTGAAGTGTGGGTTACCGTGCAGGACATCTGGGCGCACACAGGACACAGCTGGGGGTGGCGGGGAATGAAGGGCTCCAGGGCAGTGGGGAGCACAGGGCAAGGAAGGATTCAAATGGAAAGGTCATTTTGGAACTGGGCCGAGGAGAGGAGTTGCCAGCTCCAGACACCCCCTCAGCGTGCACGCTGGGCCCGGTGGAGGCTGATGGTCAGTCTCCATCTTTGCTTCTGCTTTCCTGCCCTCCCCACCATCTAATTCCACATCACAGCTCAAGTAATCTGGGGGCCTTAATGCAAAGTGACGGGCGGCCTAAGTGAAAGAATGGAGGGTGCAAACAGCCTTCCTAGGCACTGGGATGGGTGGGGAGCGCAGCTCAGGATGAGAGGAGAGGGCTGGGAGCGAGGCACCAAGATGGGGATGGTTGATGGCAGGAAAGAAAACTTGAAAAATCAGCCCAAGAAAATGGATGTGTACTTCTTCCCGGGGGTAGGGCACACAAACCAGGCCAGGCTATCATAGTACCCGATACTCATCCTCAGAAGGAAAGGACCACTGAGGGCCTTCCAAGGAAGAAGACTGGGCTGGCCCAGGTACTGACCTGCCTGAGGCCTGGAGTGCAGAAGGCTCGCAGGTGGCACCTGCAACTTGGCTGGAGACAGAAACCTGCACCAGAGCCTCCGCGCCAGGTGCATGCCACTGCCCGTGTGCTTTTCACATCCACGAACCTCACCCCTGCTCTGACCGCACACATTTAGCAGCAGCAGCATCATTTTCTAAGGAAGGCACAGGGACTCAAGGAGAGGAAGCAGCGTGGCCACGGCCACCCGCCAGCAAAGGGCAGTGCCAGACTGAGTCCAGCTCTGCCAGCTCCCAAAGGCTGTGCTCCCCACCACGCCAAGTCCACAGGACACCCGCACGTAGTGTAGTCGCCTGGCAAATAAGACACAAGCCAAGATGCAGCCTTGGAAGGCCAGCAGGGAGAGGCCTGGGCATTTCCTGGGGATGAAGGAATCCTGGTCCGTTGGCTGAAGTGGAAGCTGCTCAGGGTCACTCTAACAAAACTCCTTCCTGGCTGCGGACAAGGAAGGGACGCTCAGGCCAGCAGAGGCAGCTCTGAGGGGCTATCAGTCACGGACCTCCCCTGCTGAAAGAGGGTCTCCAGGTCCACTGGAATTTCTAAAAGTCTGCTGTGTCCCTCCAGTTCCTGTGTTGAAGGGCTAACCCTTGCTACTAGACGGGGCCTTTGGGAGGGAAAAGGGTTTAGACGAGGCACGAGGACAGAGTCCCCACAGTGGGATTAGTGCCCTTAAAGGAACAGGAAGAGACCAGGGTTAGGCTGTTTTCTGCCACAGGGGGACACAGCCAGAAGGCAGCTGTCTGCAAGCCAGGGAGAGGGTGCAGACCAAGAAACTGCCTATACGGCACCCTGATCCGGAACTCCCCAAACGCATGAGAATCACTGTCGTGTTAAAGTCGCCCAGTTCCTGGTATCTCGTCAGAGCAGCCGAGCCAAGCTGAGCTGATGCACAGTTGTGCACAAACACCATTTGGATTCACAAAGAACCTGAGCCCGTCAGCATTTCCCAGCCGGAGAGAGTCACGCCTGAATTGGGAAATGACGTGTAAAGGCCCCGGCACAGAAACCTGTCAGGGCCACTCCCAACCTTCTAGAGGAATTACAAGTCAGAGGCATCTGACATTGGGCGCGTGATGGTCAGTGACGCCTGCCAATGGCAGAGGCAGCAGCAGAGTTCTCACCAGAAAGCACTACCCTCGAATGAGGGGCGGGAAGCGTTCCCAGCAGGTGCGGCACATCCCCTGTGCTGGCGTCTGCTCGGGGCGCACACTGCGTGGTTCCTACTGACAGCTGCTGAGCCCCCCAGAGCGTGATGAGCAGGCCAGGAAGGCAGCACCACTACGTTTTGTACCTGACGTAACAGACCAGATCTACCCAGCTTCTAAGGAGCAGAACTAGGACTTGAACTGTATCTGCTACCTTGAAACGCAAGAACTCACCATTACTCAGCAACCAACCAAGAATGCAGATCCACTTTGGTTTACAAATGCTGACTGAGAAGCTGGACAGAGAAGGCTCATATTCTGAAGACCCTCTGTTCTTTCAGGATCCCATTTCTGTAGCTGAGGGGTACACGTGGGCACTGAGTGGTAAATGATGTGTTCTGAGGCCAAGAAGCCTCGAGGCCCCAGAGGCAACTTACCCCTTCCATGGGCGCTATGAGCAGGTCGTACAGAGCACGGAGCGGGGGCCTGGCAAAGGAGCTCTGCCTCCTGGGAAGAGAGGAGGTCCCGTCCTTGATGGGCGACATGGTGTTGCTCACCAAGCTCGTCATGCTCTGGCAGCTCCTGGGGAAAGAAAGGCCAAGAGATTAGCCAGGGCACACGCAGGGCAGGCGGGGCCTTGGCCCTCACTCCGGAGGGCTCCAGCGACCGGAAAAGGCAGGTCGGAGGCGGCACGGCTGTGCCGAGCCTGGCCTCGTTCCTGGCCGGGCCCCCTTCGCCTCCCCTTCAGGTAATTTTCACAGAACAGTGAGCTCTGACAGAAACCGCAGGGTAAACCAGCTGCACACAACAGCTTACATTTCTATGGAGTTTTTCTGCATTATCAAATGTCCCAAAGTGCTGTTCACAGGATTTAATTACATCCTTATGCGGAGCCATTGTGCAGACAAACGTGAGGACCATTAGAATCAGCAGCAACCATCAAACTGATAGGAGGACAGTACCCCAAAGCCAATTAACCTACGGGGTGGGAGCCCCGACAAGCAAGTGCTATTGGTATTGGCCCTGACCTTGGCTCAGTTCAGCCACTGAACACTCAGCTGAGCCCCAGCATGGCACGAGGCCCTGAGGGCCCAGGGCACAGGGGTGCTGGAGTGGCTGACCAGGCGCCACCTACAGAGGGGTGGACTGCAGGAAGGCACCACAAGGCTTGGCTTTGCCCTTTCTGTCCCAGACTGCAGGCAAGGTTTTGCCAGCAGGGGTGGCAATTTCAGCCCCGCGGGCCATAAGTTGCACGCTACGAGGACATTTGATGGTTGACTGATACTGAGAAAATGTCTCCTGAGCACTGGCCACCTGCCAGGTGCTGTCATAAGCCCTGAGGACCAACCCAGGACAAATCACACAGGGGAGCGCAAGAGTGGCAGGCAGAAGCGAGTCCATTTCCCACCAGCGACCAGGCCGCCCCCACGAGTCCTCCTGGAACACAGCCTGGCCAGAGCGGCTCAGCACGGCCTCTGGTGACATTCTCTGCTCAGCTACTGGACAGGTGGGGGGGGGTCATTAACCTTGATTTAGAGTCTGTACATAGTTTTGGAGATTCTTCTGTGCACTCAAGGGCCCATAAGTGCACGGCCCCGGTATCCCTCTATAGCTGGGGCAGCTCCTCGATTGTTAATTTAGAAAAAAGTAGAAGCCTCCTTTCCCTCCCGCACCAGGCCAGGATCCACGAGCACCAGAAGAAATGATTTGAAAACTATGTCTGTGTTTTCCAGGTATGGCTTCTGCCCCTGGCATCCCCACCCTTTGGGGAGCTTGCAGCAATGTCCCACTTAATCTAAATTCTAAGGTCATGTCAAAGCAAACTGGACACCCTCAGCTCCCCACCCTGATGCCTAAGAAGAGTGAGCGGAGCCCGAGAGCCTGCTCACTCGGAAAACACGCACAGGGACTGAGGCCCGGCATGTCTTTGCCATCAGTCTGTAAAGCACAGACAACCCTCAGCCCTCAGAGGCTCACTCCATTCCACGGACCACACCGCAAAGAGCACTGCTCCCCCGGAGGAACAGCCAGGCTGCGCTCCAGAGGAGACGCCCAGGCGTGGCGCCGTGCCCGCCCTCACTGTGTGTGCCCGCATCTCAGCAGATGGGATAATGCTGTGGCCACAGAACCTAACGATGACTGCTGGGGTGTTCCACAAGCCCCAAGGCTCTGGCCTAAGAAAGCCCCTACTGGTGAAAGGAACCCCAGCTCTAGAGCACCCCCAGGCACCTTGACGGACGGCGGGCTACCAGCCCCAGCCGAAGATGTCCGACTGACCTCTCAACTGAAGCTGGCCAGGGGTCGGGCGGGGGTGTCTTGTGATCTCGGCTGCTCTGCAAGACCAGCCCTGGGGACAAGCAGGAACGTCCTCAAAAAGGATGTTGCTCTGGTCATCCCAAGGAAGGACTTGCCGAGGCAGGAGCGTGCTGTTCAGCAGGCCCGGCTGTTTAAAAAGACGGTACCATCTCCCCGCCAGGCCCTCATCTTCTCCCCGGGTCAGTCCCCAGCCCACCTGACTCACTTTCCTTCTCTGTCCACACATCCCCACGCCCACGGCGCCAGGCAGCCCAGGCTGTGCTCCTGTCCACACCTCCCGAGGCTGTCCCTCGGAGTGGCCTTCTGCTCCTCGTCTGCAGTCAGGCTGCCTCACACCCCCGTCAGATGGTGAGCACTCCCTTTGCTGCGCCTGGCCGGCAGAGTCAGAGGCTTGTGCTCAGTGCCCCTTGACCTTTCCTGGTGCCACTCCCTTTCCCCACGGCCTGGCCCTCGGTGAAGCATCTGTCTGGCACATCGTGGGCAGCCACACGTGTGGACCGGTTCCTGGTGCTGGGGCCTTTGAATTTTTCTGGCATTTCATGGGTTCAATTAAAAAAAAACCAAAAAAACAAAAAACAACCTGGAACCATAATTTGAGACCAAAGTATATCCATTTAAGACTTTCCTTATCCTGGGCAAGAAGCATTGGTTGCAAGTCTCCCCCCAAGCCCGAGGCAGCAGCATTCCCTGGCATGTCTCACAGGCCTCTTCTCCAGCAGCGCGGCAGGTGGGAGCAACCAGCCACTTTCCCCACGCTGGCAGCCCCCTTATCTCACTCTGCCTCAGCAGGAGCAGCAGCAGCAGCAGCAAGTGGCTGGTCCCTACTGGAGAACTGTCCCCGGAAGGACAAGCCCAAGAACAGAGAATTGGAGGGTGTGAAACCAAGACCAAGAGTGACTGAGGGTCCCGTGGGTCTCAAAAGCCCTTTGAGGGGCAGGCAGGGGGAGGGTCTTGGGCTGGGACGCTCCTGGCCGCAGTGAATGGTGGGCCAGCAGTGTTCTTCCCTCCACCATCATGAGCGACCACCACAGCCTCGTGCAGATTGTAGTCAACGAGCTCCCCTTCATGTGTTTCTTCTGTTTTTACTACATCTACTGTCACCTACTCTAGCTCTTTTATTGGCGTAGATTTGCCTTGCCATCTGTATACAGATATGTTCAGTAATTCAAAACGCCAAGCAGTCAGCTCCTTAGTCACAAGTCTGGGAACGTTTACAGATGACGCAGTGAGCCGCCAGTCTGCCTCTGTCACTCACTGGCTGTGTGGCTCTGGCAAGGCACATCCCATTTTTACTCTCTTTTCCTTGTAAAATGAAGGGGTTGGACTCAAGTCCTTGTTGGCCTCTTCTAGTTCTAAAATGTGAAAAGTTTCCTTGGCCTCCCTGGTGGCGTAGGGGTTAAGTCTCAGCACTATCACCCTGATAGCCTGAGCTCTCTCCCCGGCCAGGGAGCTACAGACCTGGTGCAGCAGACCTCTCCTGCCGCCCGCTGCTCCCCTCAGCAGTGTACTTCAGTCAGTCTGCCTGTTCTGCTCCCCATTCTGTCTCTGGTGAATCCTCTCACCCCCCGCACCTCTGGCCTGCATCCCAATTCTATGCAAAAAAAATATAAATAAAAAGTGAATTTTCCTTAATCTAGGAAGCATTCTAACTTGCAGTGGCTCTGTCTGCCTCTCTGCTGATCCCTGGGACACAGCCACACATTTCAAAGCTCCACTACCCTCCCTGCATTTGCCACGGTGAGTCACTCAAGTGCCATAACCTGCCTGAGAAGGCTGGCACTGCTGATGCAGGCCCAGGATCGCTTAGCTACAGCTGAGTGGCAGCGGCCCCTGGGCTGTGAGCCCCAGCCAGCAGGGCTGTCAGTTGCACATCGGGGTGAGGGCTTCTTGGCCCCTCATTGAAGGCACACCCACCGCCTCCTGGCACCATCACAAAAGGCCTGTGCATCCAGTCACTCTGGAAGAAAGCCCTCATTAGGGCACTGCCTCCATTTCTGTCAGGCCTTTCAGCCTGACTGACTTCGCTCTACCTCAGCTCTCTGGTCTCTGAGATGAGGGGACAGAGCTCTCCACTTCTCAGGATGGGTCCCGGGTCCTGTGATATGGGGGGGCTTGTGAGCTGTGTAGCCCCTTAGGCCCTTGATGGGCTCGCCACATCCACAGTATTCTCTCAGGTCTGGGGGGTGGGGGGTGCACCTCCCTCGCTGGTAAGGAACCAAAATTCGTGGACAGCAAGAGATCTGTAGAGGCAGCCACGAGGCAGGGCCAGGGCTCCCACAGGCAGAGGAGGGCTTTTCACTGTGCCCTATCAGCCCCAGACATGGAGCAGCCAGGCAGCTAGCACTCACCCCCGACCTCTGACCTCTGACCTCCCCGCTTCAGTAGCGGCAGAGCTGACAGGAGGCAGCCTCTCCTCTCCGGGCTACTCTGCTTCTGGCAGCCTGGCAGGCGGGAAGAGGCCGGTCCTGGGACTCAGGGCGGCGCCAGCACGCGGCCGGCAGGTGGCAGCAGCGCGCTTCCCGCCGGGCCCTGCTTTTCCTGCGGGGACCCCCGGGGCTAATTGACAGCCTGGCTCAGCAGAGAGGATCCTCTTACACCACACTGTCGTTATTAGCTCATTCCTCCGATGACGCTTATTAATGTACTTCTGGAGAAATGCTCATTCTCCCCGCTGTCAGCGCTCTGTGTGGCGCTGGGAACCGGGAAGGGCCAGGCTGGCGGGGGCGCGGGAGGCCGCGGGCGGCGCGCACAGGCGGAGCTGCAGACCGCGTGGCCGCGGCGCCACCGACTGCGGATGACGACAAGCACCCGGCGGCCCGGGCAGTCCTCGCTGCTCACGAATCCCCCTTCGCGGATGAAGAGATGTGCTGCCCACGCGGGGGGCTCTGCTACTGGGAAGGGCCTGAGAAAGGCCCCGTGCGCTCGGCGCCCGGCTCGCACTGCAGACCCAGCCCTGCACTGCAGCCCCATGGTGGGGGTGGGGGGGTTACCTGCCGGATGCAGGTGTGAATAAGCCCAGGTGAGGGGAGGCAGGGACCACCTGAGGGTGTGAACGGGGATGACTGTCCAAACTGCAGCACTCTGTGGGCACCAATCTCGTTGCCCTGGTTTCCTGTCAAGGCACCGATGAGAGAGCGAGTTCCCTGTGCAGACAGCGCCCCACCCCAACACTGTTACTGGTTTTTTTTTTGTTTTTTTTTTTTTTCAGCCTTTCACATTCCAAGATGGCACATTAAATGAACCAACTCTGCTTGAGCTAAATAAGC